TTAACTCTTTGACCACCGGTCAAACCAATTTAGACTTTCACCAAAGTCAAACCACTTAACATTTAATGCCTATGACGGAGATAGCCTCAATCCGTAATACCGAAGATAGCCTCAATTCGGTGGAGGTAGGATCCCTCGGGCGATAGCCTCAAACCCAAGATCACAGACCCTCGTGCGCACGTCTTAACCTCACTGACCAGGCCCTGCAGCCGCCCGAGCAATGGCCAGTTTCTATGTTCGACATAATAAACCCATTGACCTTAATCACCGATTAGAACTAATTAATTAACTTAACTAATTCATTAAAGTCTTGGGTTTAACCATTCGGTCAAACCTACGTCGACAGAATATCCAGTTAAGGCCTAAGTTAAACGTGATCTAACCCAAGTCAAAGTCAAACCTGTTCAGTCAATTCACAAACCTCAACAATTCAATTCAAATAATCAATTTAATTCAATTAACTAATTTAGCCAAATTATAGCATAAACACATATAACGATCCAAACCATTAAATCTGTTCTAAATGCTATTAACTTCATAGTACGGACCTGGATTACGCCGAAATCGAATCGATAGCTCGAACGGAAGACAAATCAAAGAAATCAAACGAACGGGTCAAATTGAGTCAAAATGCGAAATCGACCAATCAATCCGGCGTGGAGGTTAATCTGCCGGCGATATCAACTCGGGGCAGCGGCTGGATGTGGCGACGGTGACGGACGCCGGCGACAGTGGCGGAGCGGTAACTCGACGGCGATGAGCAGCGACTAGCGGCGCTGCAATTCGTCGGCGAGGAAGGACGCCAGCAGTGGAGGCGACGTCCGGCAGAACGACGAAGTGAACCATCGTCGGCGGCGCTGATGCTGATGGCGGACCTCTGGCGAAGGAAGCGGTGGCGGCGACTGGCTGGGGAAGGGTGACCGGCGCTGGCAGTGGAGGCGACGTCCAGTGGCGAGGCGCGGCGGCGCTGGACTCGACGGCGATGATTGCGTCTGGCGGCTGCAAGTCGACGGCGATGATGGCTGTTGAAGACGAAGAAGAAAGAAGAAGAAGAAGAAGAAGAAGAAGAAGAAGAAGAAGAAGAAGAAGAAGAAGAAGAACGAAAGAAGAAGAAAGATAAGGATCGTGTGGCTGAAATTTAGGTTTAGGTTTATTTAATGGTCCCATTCCAAAAAGGATTGGGCTTCGGACCCAAAATACCCGATTAAATGGTCATAACATGAGCTCCATAACTCCGATTCGCGAGCCTTCTGAACCGACGCGATCACAAAAATATTTCCTACGAGATGACATAAAAGTTGGGCTTAGAATCCAAATTATAATTTTAACCCCTTTTTGGGCCCAATCCGTAATCAATTGCTCTAACAATTTAATTAATTCTTTTGGGCCAGATTTCGGGGCGTTACATTTCTCCCCCCCTTAAAAAGAATTTCGTCCTCGAAATTACCTGAGTCATTGGTCGTCGAAGAGATGAGGGTACTGAGTTCGCATAGATTCTTCGGTCTCCCAGGTTGCTTCTTCCACCGCATGGTTACGCCATAGTACCTTTACCAAAGGTACCGTCTTATTTCTTAGTACTTTAGTTTTGCGCGCCAAGATCTTAACTGGTTCTTCTTCGTAAGACAAACTCTCATCGAGGGTTACAACATTGGTCGGCAACACATGAGTCGGATCTGAACGGTATCTACGTAGCATGGAGACATGAAAGACGTCGTGAATCCTGTTCAACTCTGGTGGCAACTCTAACCTGTAAGCAACAGGTCCTATTCGCTCCAGAATGCGGTAGGGTCCAATGAATCTAGGGCTAAGCTTCCCTTTCTTCCCGAACCGTAGGACCTTCTTCCAAGGTGAAACCTTCAAGAATACCATGTCACCAACATTGTACTCTATGTCTCGTCTCTT